AGTAATGATAATCTTTCATAGGTAAACAATAACTGTTTAAAAATTATGTGCTGGTCTCTATGAGGCTACATTTCCAGTCTAAATATGATGATTGCAAATGTTTTGACAAGTGCTAAGTAATGTAGACAGTGAACTTCAATCCTTTTCTCTTGCTTTGCAACATTTTCTCTTCTGTACTATGTACATTCATCTCGCTCACCCATCTCTTTTCATCCCTGGTATATTTTTGTTGTAGTACAGGCATAATATTTGTCAGAAATCAGCGCCCTGCAATGACAGTGTTTGTTGCATTGCACATATTTTCAGAGAGTCCTCCAATCCACCATCACGGATCCCAATCCATCACTGATGGCGGATCTGGTGATGGACGACATCAAGATCTGGGGCGTTAAAAGTTTGGTCAGCAAAGTCTTGTACCAGAATGTAGAGCTGAATTCCCTTAGGTGGAATTTCAATCAGGCTAACATGGTAAGAAATCCAACTCCAAATCCAAATCCAACAAGAAAAGACTTTTTACACAGTAGCACCATTTACTATGTTTCATTAAAGAGTTGTAGGTTTAAGACTTAACATTTTAGATAGTTTGCTCTATTTGCATGTTAGTTCAAATGTTCAAGTGTTTAAGTTTCTACCTACCATGCAATCCTTCAGGTTTTATTTGAAATTCACAGCTGCTAATAATGTAATTGCTGTGTTGGATCTGTGCCAGTGGTATGCAGTGGTGCTGTAAAATCCACGACAAAGATGAAAAGGGGTGTCAGTGGGAAAAAAAGTTGCTAATAAAAAGCTAAAATCCTTCTCCAAGTATTCAAAATAGCTAACCAAACAGTTCGAAAGACAAGTATATGGTTTAATGATTTTGTTGTGTGTTTCTTTTTACCAAGAGCAGATCCAGAACAGCATTTTCATTTAATCCTTTGCAGCCCTTTTTAAGGGGTGGGGCTACATTTGGGGGCTTTTTACATTCTTCTGTACGAAAAGGAAATGAAATAAGCAAAATTACCCCATTTTCATCATCTCTGTACGAAAAGGTTTTATACTTATTTTGGGAGAGGGGGAGGCGTGTCCCCGTGGCCCCCTAGATCTGCTCGTTTTAATTGGAATTCTCTCCTCTTTCACAGGAGTTTCCATAAAATGACACTGCATGCCTTTCTTTCAAATGCAGGTCTTAACAATCGAAAATTTGAATCATCCAATGACTGACAACATCATCCTGGAATGGCAGTAGAGATAAACCAAATAGACTGACCCACTCACAGCTGACTGAAGAAAGAAGATGGTTCTGCCGGCATGTAATTTCAAGGCTTCTCAGATGTAGTTCATCGCTCACACAGAGGCTTGAGGACAGACGGAAGCTTGTAGTTAACGAATTCAGGAAATCGTTTGACTTGATGGCAAAATTAATTAGAAACAACAACAGCACAGGGTACCAGGTTACCTGACACCAGGCGCTGATCAAGTATTTGCTCAGTAAGGTTACAGTTGAACGAGCCATACATGCCCTTCAAACTACCCCGATGTCTCCAAGGATGTATTTTGCATCGCAGAGATGTTAATTTTAAATGACAGGTTTTGCCCTTACTATGACATTTATTCAACACTTAGCATACAAGTGTTATGGCATGAAGTGTAAGGGTAAAACCAATAAGTTGAAAATTAACTACTGGCATACGGAGACGAAAGTGAGGTTTTGCTTGCAGAACCGAGACTCCTCTATATCATCATTGCTGTGTAGGTTGCATGAGTATCTATTCAAAAGTGCAAAGCTTGCCAGTGCAGCCTCTCTTTGACATAGCAGAGCCAATTCTGGTATTACTATGGAGTACCAGAGTGTGACGTCATTTTGACCCAGGAAGTGTAGTGCAAACAAATTGAGTACATGTGTGCATGTTGGTTTATGTCCTAGTGCTTGTGCTAATGCTTTTACCCATATAATTGTGCACGTAATGTGTTCACTTTGGTACTCTATGCTGCAACTAAGATATGAAGGACCACCAAACACAGCTGAATGAGGTTCGCTGGCAGATAACCTCAATACAAGCTCTACGACACGGATGCAAAACAACTCCAAAATGCAATGCTAGAAATCACACTCATTTCTTCAGCTTCTCCTCCACTTTATTTACAAGAATCGAACATTTTATAGAATAAAACTTGTTGTATTTAAAGAACTGAAGCTTTGCAGTCACCACCCATCAGTGGTATCCAAAGAAAACTCTGACGAATAATTAAAATTCAACAACTTTCACTTGTTTAGAATGAGCTCCCTCTTGGAGAAGAAATGATAGAGAGTCAAGTTCTTTGGTTCTCAATCAATTAACAGGTGAAATATAGATGCGATACCAAAAGTCCATTTTTTCACAACTGAGCTTTACAAGGAATACTTATGGTGATTTTTCTTCCAAAATACCCAGAATTAGGAATTATTTTCCTGTTCTACTTTCAGGCATTTTGGCGACACTTTTGTACTTGCTGTTTTTTAGACAGTGACCATAATAGAGTAGTTACTCTTGGTTTCAATTTGGATGAAATTCGTAAGTTGTTTGTGTACATATCGTCTTTCTTTTTCAGGTCATGCGGAGCTTAATCAATGAAAAGAAGAGAAATGATCGATAACATATATTTTAGCCAATTGCATTTTCTTTGTCACATGATTTAAAATAAAATGACCACGGCACATTTCATTTGATTTGCAAAAATCTTATTTGCATAACATTAAAGGTTTCAGTGCTGTAAATAATTTTTAGCATTTTTGTGCCCATATCTTTGGTTGTCATAGTAACTGCAAGCCATTTTGATGTCTGGACATCTCATAATCCCCAAGGTATATCTTCAAGAAACACAAGAAAGTTTGAGCGGTAAAAGTGGCACAAAGCACTCGCTTCTCATCACTTGCTGTCCTGGGATTTGATTCTTGGCCCGGGCCATATGTGATAAGAGTTGTTTGTTGATTCTCTCCTGTGCTACAAGGGTTTTTTTCCCCTGGTTTTTACAATTTCCCTTCATGTGCAAAAATTTACATGATCCCTGGCTGTGCTCTGTGAACAGATGATGTGGGCTGTTTGACGCTGCCTAAAGAGCCTTTCTTTGCCTTCTGCTAGAGGACGTTACAGATTAATATCTTCACTGTACAGTGAATTTGAATAGAACTGTTTGAAATTTGCTCTTTATAAATCAGTGAATATAGGATAACCCTTCCGCTGCATTAAAAAAATCACAGAAAATATAGTCATCATGAGATACGTTTTGAACTGTGTAATTTGTCTTACTAGAAATTTTAGGGTTTTTTGTAGCCACCAGCTACTTCACATTCCGGAAATAAATTTTATCCCATGTACACAATTGACCTTTAAGCAGATCACTTCAAGTATTAAGAATTAAGTCTATGAAATCAGCAATATTTAAAAGGTTCATCATACAAATTTCAATATTTTTCCACAGATGTCCATGCCTAAGATAGGTAATTCGGACCACTGTATGCACAAGAGTCGAACTCTTTTCCCATTGAGTCAACGTGAAGTATTATGCTCACAAAGGCTCACACTTAGTGTGTGCAAACTAGACAAGCCAGGTTTTCTCTGCGCCCACGCTAATCAGAATCCAATCCGTCTATTTCATCGTCGTCCCCTCCTAAAGCCTTCCAGAAAGAAATGGCAACCTTCTCAGCATATTTCTTGCGCTCCTCACCAGACAAACCTGCCGCCCTCTCTTGAAAAAAACAACAACCAAGTTTTATTCACATACATGTCCATGCATATTGCAAAAGAGGGATGAGGGAAGTCCTTACACTCCTCCCCCCCGGAATAATAACAAATAAAGAAGGGAAAAAAAAGAAAGCAAAAAGAGATCAAAGGGGATGAATCACAAATTTGCTTGAAAGAACTTTGAAATTGACCCTTCCACTGTTAATGTGTAAAAAACACAACAAGTTCAGACTTAAAGGCAAAAACCAAGGTCCAGCTGAAACAGGTTGGGACAGGTTTGCCAAAGAAAATGTCAGTTGAGGGGCAGGTTCCAGTCTCAACCAATCCTCCAGTGAAAGGAAGTGCAGCACAGAAGAACTGGAATCCCTACCCCAGCAGGAGAGACCATACCTAGAAAACACCACTTCAGACTACCTAAACAAGTTCAGGAGAGGGGCAGCGTTACTGCTTCCCAGATACAGCCACTTTTGCAAGTATCAACTCCTCGTCGTTTGCATCAAGATTGGTGCAATGACATTCATATGGAAGTATGCCCTTGGTCTCTCAGAGCAAGTAAACCTCACTTGAAAACATTCATAGTTTGTTAAACTTCTTTCCCTCCACAATGAAACCAGAACTGTTCTCATACTTTAAAGACCTACCTGTACATGTATATCTTTTTCTTGAGAAAGTAAAGGCAGACTGTTTTGTTAAGTGTTGATCCATTGTTTTGTGTTCTATTTAGCCCATTGTTTTGTGTTCCATTCATCCCATTGCTTTGCTGCTCGGAGCCCTTGCCTACCTTTCATGGCAGCCATCCGTGCAAATAATTCTTCAAAGGACTCTTCTCCTGGGTCCTCATTCCCCAAAGCTCTGAACACCGCCATGTCATCGTTCAACAAGTTGTCTAGGAAACATGACGAGGACAAAAGTCAGAATTTAAGGAGTCCTGCTGGACCACACAGGTAGACAAAAACTTGCCTGTATCTGAATATACTTGCCTATGTCCAGGAATGACGTACATGGAGGGCATTGGATAGGGACTGTAAATGTTTGCTATGGGCATGTGTGTATTATAGAAAGATGTAATGGGTTCATTAGGATGCTGCCAGTATCCTGAGCTATACCAAGAGAGGGCGCAATTTTCTTAGCAGCGGAGGCTCTTTTGGTGGAAATTGCACTTTGTTGGTTCACAAACAACCCTGAAATGCACACATTGCGGTCTCGTTGCTAGCTAGCTCATGAGAAAAATCATTTTAAAGAAGTGCAAAGAACCCTACGTTGTGTTTTCCTACCTATTCTGTCTTGCATTGAGGCTGCTCCTTTTCCAGAGGAAGCACTATCATTTCCACTTTGTTCCCTGCCTTCTGAACTAGACTCTGCACCAGTTGTGCTGCCAGGTGGCTGGTTGGTCTTCTCTCCAGCAGTATGACAATGTACTGCACCATTAGCAGGTAGGCCACTGCTCTCAGGTGAGGTACTGTCCGTGTCAGTTGTAACTGTTACTGCAGATGGCTCTGTGTCTGTCCTGAGTTGTGTATGGGTGTTTGGCTCAGGTGATGAGTTCACAGCACTGCTGTGTGTGGATTCTTCATCCGAATGCTGTTTGCTTGCGTTTAGCATTTCAGATTGTAGACGACCAAAAATTCCTCTGCTTTCTGAGAATGAAGTAATTGAAGAAAACAAAAACAGAAAGTATAAATGGATATGGGAGTAATTGATGTTTGTGGTGGAGATTTCAGAGCGGAGTAGCTGAACCGTTATGAAGGCAATAATGACATCTGTTTATATTTCCACGGTATGTACTAACAGCTATTGTATCATCGCAATAGATATAATTTGGCTATGTCCACCACGTCTTACTGTATACTACATCACAGTATTAAACAATAGAGACAACCCTCGGCACTGCTGGTGTTAAACTGGGACAAATTCCAAACAGCTGCTAAGCAAAGGAGTTAACTGGTCCTGCAAACTTTGGTTATAATAAAACAGGTGATTGACCCAAAATGCTGTGCCACAAGGCTTATGAGTAGGCTCTAGCTGCTGTTGTTTTTCTTTGTGTTTTACTCAGCACATAAAAATCGCTAAGCAGTATTTTCCACATGAAAGTGGGCCCCGAGCCTTGGACAGTGGATTACCTTTCAACTCCAGATTGGACCATGTGTGAGCATGTAGGGCAGAGATGATGCGCTTGACTCCAGTAATGTCATCTGCATTGAAATGGCAGACAAACAATCAAAACACATTAAATATCACTCAAAATGGCCAAGGGCTCTGCAAATCCACGACTTGAATTAATTTGCACGTGCTATCAATATTGCCATGCAGCATTCTGAAAGCACTTCAAAACTCAGGGGCTTCAGAAATGCCTCCATAATTACCTATTTATTTTCCTGCCTTCTTCACAACTCCTTCTAGTATTAGTTATTACCTTTCTTTGTTACTTGTTACTTAAATAAAACTGACATAATGAAAGTAATGTTTATTGATTGATAGACTATTCAAAATTATAATAAATATTTAATATTTAAATATTGTGAGTATATGATTTCTCCTCACAGATATCCAGCACATTTGTGAACTTTATATTGCCTCCTCCTTTTTTTCGTACTTAAAAAGAGCAAAGGTTGCCAAACTTCGTAAGAATAAACTTATCCCAGTCTCACATTCATCTTCGTCCTCTTCGTCTTCATCTTCAGCTCGTTCCAGCTCCACTAACTCAAAGGAGTTATCCAGGCACCACAGCTGAGCCATGTGTCTTGATACCTCTGTAACAAGAGGGAGCAAACAGTTAACGATCGCAAGTCAACTGAGACAGGTGGACGGGGTCAGGGGAGTTACCATTTTCCATTTCTGCTATTAAACCCTAACCCTCTCCATTCTTTCAATACCTACAAAGAGATTTCAAGGGACATCTGCAGCACTGAGGATGACGGCAGAGCAAGGCTATAATTACTTGAAAAATTGGACATTTTACCAACTGGGCTTTAATAAAAAAGATTTTGGAGGGCTTCAGAAGAATGACCAGGATTTGCATTTCTCCAGATTTCCACATAAGAGAGGGTGGTTCCATCATCCATAAAAGTATCGGTAGAAAAAGTACTGAGTTTGATCATTTCATCTTGACCTTTTACCTACCTCCATTCCGAGTAAATTGTTGACAAGCCAATATCTGAGTTGACGGGGATAACTGTTCTATGAATGGCATCCATTGCTTGACTGATTCAAAACTGCTGGTCTGCAATTGAGAATGGCCAAAAAATAACAATTTCACCATTTTCATCTGATATGAAAAGTCCAACAACAGTTTTGCAAAAATCAACTAAGGAAGGCAGCTAGCAGTATAATGTCACAATTCTAAATACATTTTACAAGTTTGAGACGTTTGCATTAACTCAGACATGTACAATAAGTGACTTAAAGTAGCTTCAGACATTTTGCATAGATGATGATTCAGGATACTTTATCCACTACCTCAATCGGGTTCCATCAACATGGATACAGATCTCATTCATGCTTCCTTGCAAGACATAACCCTCTGTGCACAGAGGTTTCTCAGACATCAGTGCTCTCCTATACAGTAATGAATGCTATCACAGCATTTACACTACCCCTTAGTCAGTTTTATAGCCTAATTCCATGGTGTGAATACCGGACTCAGTCTAGAATCCGCCTTGAGCAGAAGCACCCCCTCATTGGCTCAAAAGAGCCATGTTCGTCATTGGCACTTATTTTGCTGTATAAAACCGTAATGCATACATTTCATAGTTGTTCGTGAACCAGTGAAGTGCAGTTCTAACCAAAGAAGCCTCTGATGTTAGGAAAATTGCGCCCTCTCTCAGTCACGCTCATTAATTATTAGCATCTTAAATACCTCCCCAAGTGAACTTTTTATACCTTGTCATCACACAAGATGATAACAGCTTCAAGTCTTTCAGCAAATTCAGCATCGCCAATTGTCTTTGATGGTGTGCTGCAGATCTCAACCTGTGCGGTGTAGTATTTGTTTTCTATGGACCACGGGTATCCCACGATGTCTTCTATAATGGGCGACGCAGGAGGCAGCTCTTCTGTTCCGAGAATTTCTGTTGGTTTAATATTCAGTAACAATGATGAAAACATGATTTATGAGAAATAAATATACAGAACGCAATCTTCTTTTTTGATATTTATTTTTTTTTAAAATAAATACTGATGTCTATCAAATGTTTCTTTTATATTTATAATTAGTGGCTTGGAGGATTTTAATTTTTAAGACTGAGAACCATTCAGCAATTTCTGACAAGTATGTCTAGGCCTAAGAGGCCTACCTTTAAAAATTTGAAGTTACATGCAGTTAGTGCGCAGAATTGTAGCTTCTAGCAAAAATTTTTATCAAAACACAGACACACAAGCTATCTTATTCGCTTGACCATGTTGACATGGTAGAAGCATGGAGATGTGTTTTATTTCTCCATGGTTGAAGTGACCAGCAAGCATGGCAAGATATTAGCTACGCCAAGTACGTTCTTTACAATGCTACAAAATCGAGTTAAAAACAGCCGTTAATATTGTTTTCTCCGAATGTCAGGCAGAGGATCTCAAACTTAAAGTAACTACATGAACTAGGTTAGTGATGTTTATTATTCATCAAACTACTCTTACATATTAAAATTTGGACGTTTCAGGCTGATTTTCCAATAGCGAAAGTGTTTTGAAACACATGCCTCACATGGAAATTTTCCCCGCACGTGCAATTTTATAGTTTTATGGGTAGCGTTTCGAGACCGCGGGCGCGCTGTGTGTGGTGGACCTAGCCTAGGCTCCAATAATATTATCATGATAATGCCCAAGGTGGTATGTATAAATTTAAATCATGTAAATAGAGTGAACAAAGTTGCATTACTATTTGCAAATATTGACAGCCACTGTTATTTTATGAGATCAGGGACAAATTTGATGAAGAACTCACGCTTTATAATATGCGAAGTCTCCAATGAACAACAACTGGCAACTAACACACAGGGCGCCGCCATCTTTAAATATAATTGTTTACCCGCACAACGCTATTTCTACGGTCCCAAACGTCGCTCTGATTACAACGGCCATTGATCAACACGTGGGCAATCAGTCATTGGGCGTCGCCAGAATTTTTTTCCAAGGAAAGGACAAACCATTTTTTTTCCTAAGAGGAATGAATTTTCGGGGGGGCTGAGTACTCAAGAGCTAAGAACTTATGAGCAGTTAACATTGGGAGGGGTGCATTTGGGAACTTTTTCAAGTGAATTTGTGATTTCCATTTCCTGTTCTCTTTTTCTTTTATTTCGTTTCATTTTCCGGGGGCAGCAACGCCCGTCCCCCTGTCACGCCCACAACATCAGCAGAGAAGATATTTAGCCCAAAAAGTTGGATTATGATATTAGCACTTCTCTGTTTAAGCTAAAACGATTACAAGTGATGAGACTGTTTTTAATTCAATTATGGCATGAAGGATGAGTGGGTAGACCTAATACGAGTCTTGGTCAAGACGTCGTTGTGTTGTTGAAACGCGAGAGGGCGGTCACAAGACGAACCATGCGTACTCTGTGGCACTGATCTCTACTATAATATAGATCAGTGGTCTGTGCACGAACCACAACTTGAACGCGTGGCTAGTTGTGGTTCGTGCGTTCCAGTATTCGTCTTGTGAGCGCCCTCTTGCCGAGCTCGGCAAGAGGGCGCTCTCAACAGAGAGAGCTATCAACAAAACAACAACGTCTTGACCAAGACGAATCAAATATGAGCTAAAGCTAGGCTCTGTTTGGTATGAAAAAAATCTACCAAGTAGCTTAAGGCTAATACTGATTTTAATCTGTCTAATTTGTATTTTTCTGGTACACTCAAAGGATCCACTTTCCATAAAAAGAAAAAATGTTCGTTTTTTATGTTTAATTTCTTTTTGAAACAAGGAGTGTAATCTTCTCCAATCCATTATTGACACTTTATTGATTTCCGAAGATAAATTTACAGACTGTGTTAAAAAAACGTTGATGCAGATTTAATTCCATATGTCTATTTGTTATTAATTATTCACTTATTACATGTACCGCAATCAGGACAGATCATTATCCCTTTAAGGTTGACTGCATGGCCGTTTTCAAATACTTATTACTGAGGTAACAACTTCCGAAGTCAGGGGTAGTAAAAAAAGGGGTGAAGCCTGCAACCAAGACGACGTTGAGTTTTAAAAAATCCCCACAAAGCGATCAAAAAGTTCACACCAGGCGTAAATAAAAAAAATGATCTGATGAAGTTGGTGACACCTTCGGTAAAATCACAAAAATTAGACTGCACTGTATCCTCAAATATATTACTTGAACTAAAGTAAATAGCAGCCTCGATTGATCTGTATTTCAAGCTATGTATAGAATTCCTGAATACTCTGGCAGCAAGAACAAATAGTTGGCAATGTTTGGGTAAGATGAGAAATCTACATACCATTCATTATAAAGAATAAATTTGACTTCAGGCTGAGTTATGTGTCGTAAATCGGCCATCACACTGCTATGTGTACGGTATTTCGCCGCCGTAATTATAGTAAGGTGAAATCATGCCGCGGGCAAGGTCTGTTGTCGACTACGTTCGCTTGGCCGGAGCTGATGGTCATCTGTGTCTTTGCTCTGTGGTTTAATCATGGAGAAATAAAACACACTTTCTCCATGGTTTAATAGTGTGAGGGTTAAATGAGCTGCGTTAAGTTGATTTTTATTGAGAAGGTAAGTACTATCGATAAATTTATGTGCTTTTTGCTATTCGTTATTTTGCGACTGCCCTGCGACTAGTGCGATTGGCATGACCCGGTACCCCCGTGCACTGCTGACACGACGAACGTGAACGTCAACACGTGGTGAAAGCGTGTGCAGCAGTACGGCGCGGTGTGCATATTGGCATATTGATTTGTTGTTACTACCAGGCTTAGGGCCTACTACTTTAATAAGATGCTGTTCAAGCTTTTCAATCACTGCACCCATTTTGCGCTGTTAGTGTTTTACCACTTTGTCTTTGCTCCCAACCTACAATTTGGTAAGTGTTGTGCCCCAGCTCCGGCATTGATTCGGCAAAGTCCAGTGTGCATGTGCCCAGCATGTGCCAAAGTCACATTGTTTACAATGTCATGCCATAGATGAAGTACCATATTTAGACAAATTGTGTCCTGTGTGAGATGCATAAACTTGGATAAGGTTGACGTGGTCGAGAAATTTTCTATAGAAATTGGTCAACAATTTATAGTTGGGCCAGCCCAACTGCAGCACTACAGTTTTTGACAGACACTGTAGTTGGGGCGTGACTAGCCCCACTAGCGTGGCACGGACTCTCGCTACTGCTCCATCCTTAGCCACACATCTCTATATGCAACTTGCGTGTCGGCATAGTGAAAAAGTTCGGCGCACCGTCTTATAATCGTAGCCCCAATTTTTTTTTGCACACAGAAATGATCCTTAGCCTCTCCGCTTTATTAGCGCCATTTATTGAATGATTTCACTCACGTTTTGGTATTTTCCAGTCTTTTTGCTTTCACACATTCAGTCTCACGGGCTTGCTCTCGCAGTCGCCATCTTTAAAATAAGGTCATTGAACATTACGTCACTTGACCCCCTCATCGTCTCGACGGCTGTTCCATGTCAAGACATATCTAAACTGCTGCCCAAGTTTTGGAAGAGCCCATTGGTACATGTGGTATCTTATCTCTCAGTCCGTGTATTAGATGTGTCTTAACATGTATTTGTGTGAAGTACTTTCACATAGTACTTCAGGCACACTTGTTTGGTTTTTTGTTTATTTTGTTCTGTTTGATGGGATGTTTATTTGTTTACTTGTTTTTTGTAGATCATCAAGATATCACGCCAGTAGCATGGCTTCCCCTCCTACCAAGCCATCATCTCCGCCCCTCAAGAGGGCCAAATTGAGTAAAGGAGCACTGTACAAGCCACCAACTAATGAGGAGCTGAACACACTGAGAGAAACAGAAAATTTGTATCGGTCCAACCTGTTCCGTATGCAGGTACATTAACATTAAACGTCTGAACTCGTACAGGTGAAATGTACCTCTGTGATTGAAAACGTACATTTGCCCATGCTTCCACTCAAAAATGTTTAATTGCAAATTTTATCTTTTAAAGACTTCGCATGCTCGGAAAACCACTCTCTTTTCTGCTGCTCATCAGGACATCTTGTTTGTGTTCAAAACTAAAGCCGTGTTTCCGATGTATTACTTGTAGATGTTGTAATTGATCAGGATTGATTGCCAGTGATTGGTATGAAATCTTAAATTGTGATAAAATAGTTTCGGTCTAAGTCAATGTAAACTTTTCACCGCGACTGTTAGGTGATAGTTTGATATTATTTTATTTGATATTCAACCCCTGGTGTGCATCCATTATCAGATGGAAGAGTTGATCGGTGAAGTACGGGTCAAGGAGACAAAGAAGCAACTCATCACAAAGAGCCTGCAGGAGCTGAACGATATCCTGACAAGCCTGCCATCGCAGGAGGTAGACGAGGTATGGTGTGTACCGTAGGCCATTCCTGAAGATCCAAGGGGAGTTTCAGGGGGTGGATCCAGCATCTACCAAAAAAGGGCGGCACCCACTAGTGACACACATATAGAAAAGAGGATGCCTTAGATATTGATGAAACCCATTCATACAAGCAGGGCATGTTTTTATCAATTGTTTCTGTCCTTTGAAGTTACTGAATTATCAGTTTAGAGCAGAAGGAAAAATATGAATATGTAAAAGTATAACAAAAGTATATTTAAAAGTAAAAAAGAAAAATTGAAAATAGAGGGGCATGTGTGCTGGTCCAGTAGACCCCTCTCCCAGTTGGATCCGCTACCAACTTTTCCAACCCGTAACGTTAACCTCAGGCTTTATCATGAATTGAGTCCCCCATGAATTGAGCCCTATCCCCCTAGGGTGTATGTCAAATCCTATTGAAATGGGAGGATTGAAGGCTGTTAGGGCTAGGATGCTACCACAGAAGTATCAAACTGTCTGCCAATAGGCCTAAGCTTGAGGGGCTTTCGTTTTGCTCCAACAGTAAATGTCTGGAAATGTTTCTCGATCTTGAGTTGAAGATAGGGCCACGATTTGAAAAAAACAGCCCAAGACTAGACAACTCATATCTTTATTTCACTCGTATACATGCTGACTTTATATGGAAACTATTCAATGGAGACTACTCCCTTATCCGACATTACTAATGACCTGTCCCAAATTTTGTTTGAATGTGGTTTTTCAATGCTTGTTGGGTCTTGAAATGCAGTTTGTTTTCTTGTGCACAGATAACTGATCCATCTTGGCTTCCAAATGATATCAAGTGCCCAACATCCTGGGACCGCTCGCAGGTCAGAGGTCAGATGTCATTCCACAAGCCGGCTTCGGTGAAAGTGGTTGGGAGCTTCCTATTGGACATACTGACCCAGCCTGACCTCAGTATCGACTTGGCAGTGGAGATGCCCCAGGTCAATTTGCATTTACAATGGAATTTGTCAAAGCAAAGCAACATTGAGAAGTGTGGGATTCGAACCTACATTAACAACCTGCGGATTGCTGCGCCAGTGTCCCACCACACAGGCAATTGTGTTCTTTTTTAATTGAGAACATTCAAAAGGGAATCCGAGCAAATGAACAGAAGTCTGTGGATGATACAGAATGATTTAGAAGATCGAGGTTTTGAATAGTGACATCATGAAAGCTTAGCACCACCAACTGGGCTATCATGGCTCACATTTATGCAGCCTGCGCATTCCCAAATTGTACATTTTTTTGTTAGCCGGTTGGTTGAAAGTTAGTGACTCATATTCGCCCCAAGCTGAAGTGCTCCCCAATCGGTGAAAAGAAAGACAGGTGTTTACAAGCAGGTTCTTGCACACTTTCTTTGTGTACGCAAAGACCATACATGCCGGAGTAAATTAGTTACGCGTACTCAGCATGCACCACGTCAAACGCGCATATACTTGCGTGCCTCATGGCAGGCCTTTCCAGTGAGTACCAAAAAACCACACCCTCTTTTGTTCCGCTCGGAGGGGATCACATCAGAAATCAGAAGGCAGCCTGTAGTGTTTAGCTCACTGGCAAAGGATTCTTCCTTCTTTAGATCAGCAACTGCTATTACCTTGATCAGACTTCTCGTACTTTGCAGGGTAATACTCATTTTTATATTTTCTCCTTCTTAAATGTTTCTTTTTACCTGCTGCTTGTGTTGTAGGCTTGCCGACAACCCAAAGACTACCTGAACTTCCGATATCACCACAAGAGGGCGCTGTACTGCGCATACCTGGCCAATCAGCTCAGAGGTCATGACCTCGTAGAATCGGTCAACTATTGCTGGAAGGATGCCAACCACATGAGACCCGTGGTCGTACTCAAACTTGCCGGTGAGGATACTTATTATGTGTCAATCGTTTTTCCTCTCTTGTTAAACACTCACCGTAAGCATTAACCTTGGCCCTCCCAGATTCTAGTCTGAGATCCAATATTGTTTACCTTTGTCTTCTTTGCAGCTTTTAGTTCCGAGAACACAGGGTTTGGGTTCATGCATTTTTTGTTCCTGCATCTAAGAATATTCTGGAATATTCTGGAATGGTATGGTATTGAAGTCAGGTGGGTTTGGCTGGGGCTGTTTCCTAATCAGGGATGGATTCACTACCCAAAGTGAAGAGATACCGTGCAGCCCAGCAGTGATTACAAATGGATGGAAGTTTCATTTTAGGGGACTCTGTTGAACAGAATAAGATGTTTTCCAATCGAAATGGGCAAAAGTAGACACATGGAGCTATAAAGTAGCAAACACTCGTGTAATTCCAACTGCATGAAAGTACTCTTACTTAGCCTGAAATGTAGGCACTTGAAACATGTCTAAGCTACAGGTATGTACGGCCTTTATTGGAAGATACGGGAAGGAATTCAAATGTTGCAGTAACGTATAGATGATAGAGTATATTATCGCGTTTACGAAGCAAAGTGAAGGGTGTGTAACCGAGTTGTTTTTTTATTTTTCATCCACAGGGAAAAACGTCAAACATATTCAAGTTAAACTGCATCCGTGCCTGCCAGAGAGTAACTTCAAGAAGTCCAGACTTCTCCCAAGCAAGAGTAACATCCGTAAGCAGTGGTACACAGGGAAGAGTGAGATTGAAGGTCAGTGCATTAGGAATTGAGCAGGTTTCGAACTTGATCAGAGACAGTTTGTCAACCACTGATTGATTTTGCCAAACCTATGTATGAAGTATATCCCGGGTACCAGGAAGATTTTGCCAAAGGATGGCCAGTTCAAGTATTACCAGGAACTACATACCTTTTGTTAAAGCATTGGAATGGCCTCCATTCAAGGTGACACATCAAATCACTGCCGGTATGGCACATAGTAGTTTCTATCATTGATGTCTGATAGTCGTTCCATCTCCCACTCTTTCCTCACAGAGACATTTCCAGCCACTCCCTGTTATAACAGCTCCATCCTAGCCGACATGTCCATGGAGAGCCACCTGCACAGTCTCTATAACGCTGCCGTAGACTTCCCAGGCTTCAAAGATGGCATACTGCTGTTGAAAGTCTGGCTACGTCAGCGCCAGCTGGATAAGGTTTGCTGTCCAATCCCTTGTGACCATTTTAAACCTCTGAAGGGCAACTTCCTTGTGGTTCGGAATGACCTTGGAGGGTTAGGGTTAATGCATCTAGTTATGTTTGTTCACAGGGAGCACACTCATTCAGCGGGTTCGTCATGTCCATGCTGGTTGCCTACCTCTTGTCCAAGCGAGTCCTTAACAAGTTAATGAGCGGGTACCAGGTGTTCAGGAACACCGTCCACTATCTGGGTAAGCAGGGACAGGCTTAATTATTTTTATTTATTAAATTCAATTTATATAGCGCTCATTTCATAAAAAATGTTCAGGAGTGCTTAACGATTTTTAAAAAAAATACCTATTAGAACAACTATTTACAAAGACCCAAAATAATTGAAATAAACACAATTTAACATTGATTAAAAGTTTAAACCAAACATGGTGGGACTTCCACACGCGGCCAGCACCAACTCTCCCTCATGACTCATGACAGTGTCATGTTGGGCTTGACCGCTTTCTTGAATAACCAACGTTATCATTATCTTAATGGGTAATTTTTAAAATGCAATCTTTAGATTGTTCTTAGGGAGTGGGTTCCTACATGTACATGTTTTTAATTCTGTGTATAGGCCTGTGTTTTTAATTTTTGATTAGTCAGGGTTGTACCACATTGTTAAAGGGGGACACGTTTTGTAGATGTCATTTGGGATTAATTTTGGATCATCTGAATTTGACCTATTGAGATTTTACACGTGGAAGTTTTTAGGGTTTCTAGAATTTTATTGTAATTTGTGAATTTTTGTGTAACTAGCGCAGTGTACATGTATATGTATCCTATTACTAAATGAGGAATAAGTTTATTTATACCTGTGTTAGTTATTTTTTTATTTTTGGATATTATATGTTAATTATTTTTATAAGCAGCTGATAATCAATATCCTGTTTACTCCCGTTAATGTCCATATGTTTTCTTTTTCTGATAGCATCTTAGGAGAGCCTCACGGCAGTGATTAAGTTTGCTTCTTGGCAATCCCTCTGGGGTGTTACCAGTTTGAACTTTGTACTGTGTTTTTTTGTAATTTTCCAATATTTTGTTTTGTGATTGCTGTTTCTGTCCTGAGAAATAATGAATGAAAGCAGGAAGGAGCTGAGGAGACCACTTGCAGGAGGCTCCTCAGCACAGGAAATATTTGCTAAGCAGAAACAGGGTACCAACTTAGAGTGTTATGTGATGGGTATTGCCTGTGACTCGTTCCCAGCTGATTTTTTTGCTTAGCCCATAAATTTGCTTATTATCTGCTTTCAGCTGCTCTAGGAAGTTTGATCAAAAAGACCGTATTCATGAGGAAGCTTATTTGATCTTGTTCCCTGATACTGTTTTGTTAATTGTACCTGGGTAGATTGCCCGGGTAGATTTTACCTTACCTGATGCAAAAGTTCTTGTTTGCTTTGCTCAAGTGGCACTGAACTAACAAATGTCTTTCATCTGTTCTCGGTGCACAGCGGGTAGTGACTGGACCACCCATGGTATCACCCTCTGCTCAGACACCTCTGACAAACACCTCCCAGCCCTCAAGGACTTTCATCAGCACTTTGACGTCGTCTTCTTGGATTCCTCTGGCTACCTCAATTTCTGTGCTGACATGACCAAGGCTACTTTCCAGCAGGTATTATGGGAACTTCATTTCTTGGTATATCGCAATGCAATATGGCCCCCCCCCCTCAACTTGGAAAAACCTAGCCACAAACAGTCAACTTAATTCTCTTGGAATTCGCGAGTAGAACATTTCTCATACCTTACTTTCTTGCAGAAAATTCTTCAAAGTGTATTCTCAAATGATATTGAGTAAATTGCTGTACTTGTATAAGTAAGCAGAAGGCCATGGGCTTAAGTCTTAACCTAGGAAGAGTTTGTGAACTTTCTGTCACCAGTATAGTACCGAATATACAGTGCATTGAAAAGTCCAATGGCAAAAGGCAGATTTCATTATAAACTTTATTATTGCAAAGCAAAAAAATTCTTGAAGTGCTTAGGTTAAGCTATGAGCATTCTCTTCTATATACATGCACATGAACCAAGGCATGTTCATGATCTGACATGCTCTTCACTGGTTCCTATAAGTATGGAGTCCTCTAACTGCCAAGAATGGTGTTAGTAACTCTGTGTGCTTGTGGAAAGTTAGCAGTGGTCATTGACATTGTCTTATTTCATTGTTTTACAGGTCCGTCATGAGGCTAATCTGGCCAAGGTCTACTTGGACACTCCTGCCATTGATGGATTTGATTCTCTCTTCATGATGCCAGTGCCATTCGGAAGGAAGTTTGATCACATCTTTCAGTGAGTTTTTGAGTTTGTTTGAGTGTTAGTTTCTGCTCATGATAAACAGAAAAATCTTTGGTCACCAATCAGCTCAGAAGCATGTTTGAAAAAAGTACTCAGATTTTCACAATTTAACCCTTTGCTGATCAAACATTGGACACTAATGTAAAATTTTAAATCTCCAGTAGAAGCACCATGCTCCAGAAGCACCATGCTCTAGAAGCACCATGCTCTAGAAGCACCATGCTCTAGAAGCACCATGCTCTAGAAGCACCACGCTCT